ACACTAGTAACGTGAGCATGGTTTCTAAAAGTCAGAACTTTAGGGTGAAAGCTCATCTCCAAGAGAAAGCCACAGCACTGTGTGGTAAGACTGATGGAAACTTGTACATTTGTTTAAGTTACAATGTTTCTGACATGAATGTGTGTATCATTTTATAGGATTTCCATCTTTAACAAGTTTTTCAGTGATCCTGACTGCCTGATTCTCTTTAATAAGACAGCTTATTAAACCATCCATTTACATGAAAGGAAACTGGGTGGCCTTTCTCTTCCCAAAACAAGAGGATGCGAGAACACAGCACACGACCGAGCCTTGATGTGCCTGCCGCCCGGTGGAGACCAAAGATGAGCAGCAGGGATCTCTGTCCCCTAGGACTGTGAAGTCCATTGGGGCTCACAGAGGATGATGGGGGATTAAAACACAAAGCAAAGTCAGGCAAAAGCATAACATCCCTACACCACTCACTACAGGACTCGGGAGAAAGATGTAACACGGGCTATGGGGAGGGGGCAGCTCAAGGAGGAGATGGAGTGGGGCCCACTGACGTTTCTTCCTCCTCTTTGCCCTCTGACCCACTCTTCCTCCCAAGTTGAGGTAACCCTGCCTTCAGTGGCAGAAGAGATTAAAAAGAGAAGCTTGAAAGACTACCACGGGGGCACCAACTGGTGAGGCCCCAGAGAAGGCAAAGGAGAACAGAAGGAAGGCCAGGAGAGAAGAGAAGACGACTGATGGGAAAGAAGGAGGGGAAATCAAGGCAGAGAGACGAGGATATTCGGAGCCAAAAGCTGAGCAGCCGAGGAAGGACACTAGGTTCCCTCTATCTTCTCAGGAGTTGGGAAGTTGCCTATCTGCTGAGAGTGATAGGCTAGGACAAGGGGCTTCAGACAAGGATGGGAACTTCTACCATAGAGGAAGGGTACAATGGGAGATCCAGGCAGTGCCGTTTGGTCTCCTGACCAAGTTGGCAAAAACTCTATTATAAAAATCTGAAAGTATTGAACAGTCACCTCATTACTGATCAGGAGGGAAATGAGAACCCAGGAGCGGTTGGACGTACTCACTGCCTAGGGTAGGGACGGCAGGGATGGACCCAGCTCTGACCGAGCTCACCGCCAAGTTCTTTCCTAAATCCCTTTCCTCATATCTGCCATCCAAATAATGGATCTTTAGAATCATATCAGACATGCAGCCTTCAGTGGTTAATGGCTGGTTTGATTCACTGTATGACATGTAATAAAGCTGGTTCATTGTCAAGAGAAAACTGAGATTAAGGAGACTGTCTGATCAGACTTGTAAGCGGGTGAGCACAGACACAGATGCACACCAAGAGCTTGAATACTCATTTGTGTTCCACGCGCAGCCAGCCCAGCCCATGCTGCCTCCCCTGAAGTCAATAGGTGAGGGAATAAATCAGACACCTGGTCATTCTGGATTCTGGGAAATAGCTGCTTGCAAACTTAGATGACTCAGCGTGATGCTTTCAAAGACCATCTTTATCAGCACTCCTGTGTCCTTGACTGCTTTGCTCTGGAATATCACAGTACTATGGTATCTCGCTTTAAACGCCGACTACACCCACCACTGAGAGGGAGTCTCTTCCCCAGTGCTGGGGATCCCAGGGTGGCTTTCAACTCATTACAGATTTAGCAGGGGAAGGTGTCTATGATTGGTAAAGAATCAGCCCTAATAATGTTCCAAAAACGTTGGAAACTGGGGAGCTATTTTAAGCCTAACCTAGTGCTATCCGTGAAAGGAGTGACAATATAAACAACGAATGTTCTTTTCTGTCTTGACCAGAAGCGTTTCACACATTTGTCTATTTAGCTGTATGCATGAGTATGTGTGCGTGTGGGGGTGACACGGGTGCACATACACTCGGTATATTTAGTTTTTGTGACAGAGACCTATGAATCCATCATCCAAGTTTCCAACAGTTGGGGAACAGCAGTGAGCTCTGTTTCCTGCTCCCCTGAAGAGTGACTAATTAATAAACTTTCCCTTAATTGACTTCTGGCTGCCAAGTCCACAGGATTACTTATATATAAGTAAGCAAAAGTTCCATTTTAAACCGCTCTCCACGTCTTCTCAATATGCTTTAAACATAAATTCCCTGAAGTCAATGAATCCGTGGGCTGGGAGGCGGTGCCTTTTCTGGCTTGGATCCCTCCTCTTGAGAAGCCAGGTGCTCTGGCAGGTAGACGTGTCCCCTGGATTCTCCTGGGGTATTGTGAGTGTCCAGGAAACTTACTTTTCTCTATTCTCATCTAAGACATCAGGAAGCACCTAACAGAGGTTGTGGAATCCATTAGTGGTATTTACCTTTTGCTTTAACCTGAATTTATTATTTAAAAGCATTTCTCCTTCACAACTTAAAAATGGGAAGATGAACTTAATGTTAAATATTTAGTAAGTGCTCATGCTTCTTAAGTAGGAGGTATATCTCTGGGTTTAGGGAATTTCCTCACTTAAACTTTTTGTGGAAGTGGAATTTCAAGTTATTGTGTTTGAAGTACTTTAACTGTTTTCTTCTTTTTATGCTTTCTCTGCTTCCAGATTCCAAACTGAAAGCAGAACCAAGAAATAAAAAATGAAAACCTGAAAACAAGAGTTGTTCTCAGTTTGGTCTGCAACCTGCAAGGAGGAGGAGGAGATTGTCCCACTCTCTGAGTTTTTCTATTCAGTGCCTTTGGGAGCCATTTGGCTCAAGATTCTGGTCTTTTATGAGTTACCCTTTGCTGAAAGTAGGAGAATCCACTACGGGCTATGATGATTATTATTACTGACAATTCCTTAAAAGAATAAAATAAACATTTTTCAGACTCTTGCATTCACTCTGCTAAGACATTAACCAGAATTAAACAGTGGGGGCAGGATTTACAGCCAGCTCTCAGAACCTCAGGAGAAATGTGCATACAAATCTGATGTGGACTTCCAAGGTCTGGATCTTCTTATCCTTCTCCTAATCCCTTGTTTGCTTCTATAAAATGTTGCTGTAAATGAAAGTGCTTACATGATGTGAACTCTTGTTTGAGAATTGGTCTTCCTGGAAAGAATCCCTTTCAAAGTACTCCGCTTGTCCCCAGTCAATCCATCACACCAATGTGGGTCTCCGAGAGACTCTTGGTCTTCTGCTAGAGAGGTGCATCTCCCCTGGGTGCCCATCCGGCCACAAGTGTCGAGACAGTAGTAGCCCAAGGCTGATCTTTAGCACTATAAAGGGCAGTCTTGGTGAGCAGCCCTCCAGCCCTACATGGAGATGTTTTTATTCCTTCCTGGGGATGAGTGAAGGGGTAGGGTCTGAGACCAGCCAGAGGAGCAGGCACCATGGAAGATGAGCGAATGACTGATAGAACCAGCAATGCAGACGACTCTCAAATTCATTATGGTGAATGAAAAAAGCCAGGCGCAAAAGGCTACATAATGGATCCCATGATTCCATTCCTATGATATTCTGGATAAAGGCAAAATGGCAGAAAACAAGCCAGGGTTAGAGGTGAGAGAAGTGACTGACTATAAAGGGTGAGAGGGAGCTATGCCTTGTTCTGTATTTTGGAAGTAGTGGTGGTCACACAATTGTGTAGATTTGCTAAAACTCTTAAATTATACCTCCATGAACCAGAGTTTAAAAATCAACTGAGTAGTGTGAAATACAAAGAAAATGGCTAAAGGGGAAATAGGGAGGGGAGGGGAAAGGAAATAAGGGAGAAAAAAATATGCGAAAAAAGGAGAAAATGGAAACAAAGTCTTCGTAAATAGGGAAGGGTAGAGAGGGTGAAGGGAGGAAGGGAATGGGGAAAAAATGAGAACCAAGATCTGTCATGTAAAGGTACAAGATCCCAGTGATGAATGTAACTGCACTGTACACCTACAAAGTACCAATAAACTCAATGAAAAAGATAAATAAAAATAAACTAAGGAGTAGGACCAATGGTAGGTAGGTCACAGGTCCACAAAGGTGCTGAGATAGTGGGCTTCCACCTGGGGGCAAAAGAAGCCCTGAAGACCTGTTTCTAGGAATCCTGACTTTCAAGTCTTCCAGACGTAGGGAGAAAGTGGGGGGCCTATTCACAGAACCCCAGAAATAAGACAGATGTCTTATTTCCAGGATGAATCTAGAATAAATTAGTTGATTGTGTTTGCCTTAGTCAATTGGATTTATAATTTCTAGGCCAAGGTTATTCTCCTAACCTACAGTTTTTTTTATTTGCTTTTCTGGCAGCCACTGTTCCTGGGAGGATCATTCAGGGGCCAGCTCTCTGGGTTCTGAAAGCCCAGAAAGGTGAATTTAAGAGGCATGGAGAAAGCCATTCTTTGCCCCTCACCCTGGCCCAACACTGGCCCACCGCTCACTTTAGAAACCCGAGTGAGGACAGCAGAACACACTGTGCATGGTCCCAGATGCCCAGCACCGCTCCACTAAGCACTGGTACAGGAACGGGCTGAGCGCAGCCACAACCGAGAGGGATGGAGAACTGCACAAAGGCCAGTGCCGGTTTGACAAGACAGGTGAGGGAGACTGATCCAAGGTGCTCACAGTGATGCCTCTCCAACGGGAGCCACTTGGGGGAGGCAGCCAGCCCCTGACTCCAAAGTCAGACTACTACAGACTATTTAGCAAACTGTGCTGAGCCCACAGAATGACTCGCATATTCTGAGCTCACAGAATGAATGGCATATTGCCTGGGTGTTGAGGTGGCTGAATGTTGGTCTTCCCTGATGAGCACCTTCAGGGTTTGTGAACAGAAAAAATATTCAGCAGTTGGTTCTCTTTTGTAAGTCTGTTCTTCCACATGCCCAAGGCAATTGTGTTTGTAAATCATCCTTAGCAAGGCAAACCTTCTGCCCTTGGATAATTCAAAAGTGAACTTCAGCTCAGACTCTACAATTACCTAAAATTACAAAGCACTGAACACCACGTTGACGCAATTGTACTCTATCAAGAAAAGGTCACGGCTGCCCTAGATGGGGGGCGAGTGCAGGTGTGGGGTGGGTGGACTTACTTCCGCCTTTCCCGGTCTTCTCCATCCGGTACTGGTAGATGTGCAGCGTGAAGAGCATGTGGGAGTTGCGGTGGTCCTCTTCGTCACAGTCCTGCTGGTTGCTCCTGCGAGAGGCGATGGCAGCATCCAGGAAAAAGGCGGCCTTCTCTGCAGTGGGAGCCCGCAGCTCGCTCTGGTTCTGCAGCTGAAAGAGAAAGCCAGGACCTGAGGCTGCGGGATGAGTTGGGCTTGCCTGTCCCTCACGCCTGGGTGTTAAAAGCTCGATTCAGCTGGCTGATCATTCTGCACAGTAAAGCCCTGTGCACCACTAAGGCCGGAAATCCTTCTGGGACCAGGTCACGTGCAACTCTCAGCTTAATTAGTTCATTTCTGAAAATGAAGATTGAGTACATTTAGTGGATACAACCCGCTTTTACCTATTTTACAATAGAATGCGTAAATAGCAGGTGTGAAAAGCCAATGGTTGTTCTGAGTGACCAGAGGGAGCAGATGGCCCAACCTTATGTCTACAGAGGATGAAGAACTGACATCCTGTGTGATCCATTTAGCCCAGAAAACACCAGGGACGGGAGTGTATCTCGGCCTCAGAGATTAGATTGTTTGGAGAGAGTTAGGTTGCAAAATGTGATTTTAGTCCCACCAGCACTGGTGTCTCACTTGACTCCTAATTCTTCAGTTATTTAATTTAAAGCTAATTTGAGACTACATTTACTACCATAGTTATGAACCAAAATGTCTCCATGTAAAAGACACACTGAAATAACCCAAGATACTTGAAACTCTCCTCTGTGTTTAAAAGATATCTATTTCTACCTTCAATTCCTGGATTCCTATGCATGGCATACTCAGTAATTGATTAGAAAAAGTACAGTGGGCTCCGTGTCTATGTCTCATAAGAACCCTTAGCCATTACAGTAAGCCTGAATCAAAACAATCATATTACCAGAATTTGGCCGGCACTCTGGCTTGTGGGAGAAAAGAAACATGATTTGTTCAGAGAACTAATCTGGAGTATGCCTCAGTGTTGGTACAAATTCTGACAAATTTCTAGCCTGACTTTCTACCTATAGTTTTGAACTATGAGTGCCCATAGCTGGAGCCCAAGACCACTAGAATCCGTGAACTTCAAAGACAGATTGTATTGTGTGTATGGTTTTGTATTTATACCGTAAACCAAATAATTTTAAAATGTTTTCAACAAGAATTGAAACAGTGAGGATGTTGATTTTTTCATCTTTTTCTCCAACTCCCGCTAGCCAGATCCTTCACCTAAGTGGAACTTTGCTCTTGGACTCATCGGAGTTAACTCACAGCGGGGCAGGGCACTACGGATTCCATCACAGGGCTGTGTAAATGTCATCTGTGTACATTTTATGCTTTGGAACAGCAGTTCTCAAAGTGTGATCCCTGGACTAGTGGTGGCATTACAAGAGCTTGTTCAATATGCATATCTGGGGGCTGTAACCAAGACCTACTGCTGAACCAGAATCTCCCGAGGAGGGGTGGGGCAGCAATCAATGACTGGTGTTTTAGCTCATCCTCTTGATAACCCTGAGGCAGGCTAAAGAGTATTTGAAAGGGAAATGGGAGCATAGGGTGTTTTGTGAGGAGGTTAACCATGGTCAGATTGGGTGGGTCGGTATGACAGTGACACCCTCACCTAAGCAGATGACCCCAGTGGGGACGGGGCGGGACTTATCAATCTGAACACCTAGCTCCAAAAAGGATGCCTCTAGGAAAACTTGAAAATAACGCCCACTACAGGCTACTGGGAGGGTTGCTTTTTCCAGCTTTGAACAAGAGGGCTGCCAAGTCCATCCTGCACCTCTGTCAAAGAGCAAAGGAAAGACTCTCTCAACAGGCATGATAACCTGAAAAAGCAAACTGAAGCTTCTTTTGGCTTCTACAGCTCCGGTAATTATACCATGGTTCTAATTAGAAAGTGGTCATTAGTTTTTCCTACAGCACTGTTAATTCGGCTGTAAACCAGTGCCAGAAACACAGTTTATAGAGCCATAAACAGCCCAAGTCATGGATGCAGTTATTTGTGCAGAGCAGTAAATATTTCGGTTTGTTGTTAAACAAAAGAAAGACTGTACCTTTTTAGGGGGAGGGGAGAAGGGACACAAAGAGAGCGAATTCCGTTTCTTCCCAAATGCTCTGACAGTTGTGGCTCCTGCTCATTGTCAATTAGATTCCAGGTACAAATATTTAGGTTGGGCAAGCAGATGGCCCCACAGCTGCAGGCCATAAAGTTCCAGTCCACTTTAAAGTAAACACTCATAAGCCTCCCAGTTTGCATGGTGAATGACTCATGGGCTCTGCCGCCTCAGCCTCCGAGGGAGGGCTGAGCCTCCCCTGGGCAAACCAAGCTCGCTGAAGCAATCACCTGTGTGCCACAGATGGGGTCTTCACAGAGGTACACGCCTGGGGACTGGCCGTCCTGCAGGCTGCCCGTGGCCACCTCCGACAGCAGGTCCCGCAGGTTCTCTTCTTTCCCCCACACCTCCACAGCGGAGATCCGGACTGAGAAGCGGGCCCCAGTCTTTTCTTTCCGTTCATTGATGAGCTTGAAGAGCCAGGAGATGGCACAGGGAATGATGCCCAGGTTCTGCATGGAATCATCCTTCCCAATCATGGTATAGGATTTTCCTGTGACAGCAAGGGAGGAACAGAGAGGGGTCCAGGCCTCATGTCATACGTTCAGAAAACCAGATGCCGAAGACGCAGGACAAAGGGATGGGGGAGTGGGCAAAAGGGAAGAAAAGGAGTGAAGGAAAGGAGAAAGAAAAACAAGAAGCAGTTGACAATGACAAAAAATCAAACCTTTCCTAGTGCTAGCAATGAAATGGCTACGACACAGAATGTGAGAGCCCAAAGAAATGACAAGATGAAATCCAGCCTACCCCGTGTCTGCGACTATTGTACACGGAGTGGGAAGGCAGAGACTTTTCGTCACAATTACTGTGCTTTTTATAGCCACCCCACAGATTAAATCCACATACTCACACTTTATATCCTTTCTCAAATTAAATGCTGTGTATATTTTTATAGCATGAGCAAATTCCATTAAAATTTGGATTGCTGCTTTGATCTGAGATCAAGAAAAGAAGGAAAAGGTGGGGGAGAGGGAAGGGAGAGATGCAGTAGACTTCTGTCCTGGCTGAGAACTGGCCTTTGTGTCCCCTGCGAGACCTTTGGTGCCGCCTCTGCCGGGGGACACTTTTCTGAATTACGGCACTGTCTTATCAGGTACATAAAGCAAGGCCAGAGAGCAGACAGGCAGCCACGGGTCGGCATGAAAGGTGGCAAGAGGGTCTCACTAAGACCCTTGCATGGGCATCTCGCTGTCTCCTTTCCCAGCCGCTTTGGCACAAAAGGATTTGTGACAGCGGCTGGATGCCACTGGGACGTAAGGATGGCTTCTCTGCCTTCCCCAGGCAGGTCCTTGCACAGTGCTGCGCTTAGTTCAGAGGTTGCTCCTCTTGCTTTTCCTCTGGCTTCATCGCCAACCGGGATCATCTTGGGAGGGGGCAGGTGGCCCCATCTGCTGCCCAAACGGCTCCTATTCAGGAAATGTACATTTCCCTGTTTGCTTTCTGGGTTCAACCCTGACGTGGACCAAGTGACATTTCCTAGATCTGGAATTGGTTGCTCCTTACCTGGAACAACCTTGCTACTCCCTTGCTCCTCTCTTGCTCTTGAAGTCTGTCTTACATGGACGGGTGGCTACTTACAACAAGTATCCTGGGGTGTTGATGACCCTGCAGTTCAGCACCTGGGAGAACCTTAGCCCTTCCCTTCAGCGGGGGCTCGGGGTTAGGGGGACATGGGAAAGCCAACGAGCAGTAGGAAGAAACACAGCTCTCACTAACCCAGCTTGGCATGGCCGAAACAGAACACGCAGCCATCTGCCCCGTTGACCACAGACTGGATCACCTCCGCCACGGTCCCGGCACACACTTCAGCCTGCAAGACACAAGAGATGTGAGCGGCGAATGCCTCATCCGGCTGAGGTGTCATTAAGGATGCAGAAGTGAGCTGGCCTTATAGCGGCTTAAGGTCCTGGTGTCACCACATTCCCAGATGGGCCAACCACTGCCCTGGAGCTCTGAACCCTCAGGGACCTCTGCCCCTTGCAAGCCTTGCACACATGAACGGCGAGTGCCCCTTCTGCTAGTCCTTGGTGCCTTTAGCTATATCCACAGACCAGGTAGACACAGGCTGTGGTGGGAGCATAGGGTACTTTCATGGTCCTCGTTTCCTTCCCCCGTCTGCTGTGTTGGGCTGTTGGAGAAGGCATTGCCACTGTCTACCTGCGCTCTTAATCAGAGCCTCCCTTTACATACACACACACACACACCCCCACCCACTCACTCACTCACACAGGAGTCTATGAGGCTATGAAGTGTGCTACACTGATTAGCGGAATAAAGGTGATGTGCTGTTCTCAGACAGAGACCTTGAGAAGCGCTGCAGCTCTAACATAAGCAAGAGCTTTGTGATGCATATGTCTGCTTCCTTTCCTGGTCTCTTCTTTTCCAGTTCATAGCTAGCCTTTTCTCTCTTTCTCTACACATTTGTCAGCGTATACAATCTCAACCACCACTTGTCAGTATGTGGCCATTGCATGGTGTTCTTTAGCCTGTGCGGGTCTCACTCCCAACCTGGTTATTAATCCCTTAGACAGGAACCACAGGCTGAAGAGGACATTTTGTATTTCCCACTGTCACCCAGTAACACAGGAATCTGCAAATAGGGATTCAGTGAATTTTGTGCAGCAGACTGGGAGATCTGGGCAATGTCTCCCTGGTTAGCATCTGAGACTTCTACAGGGGCAGGAGGGCAGAATTATTGTGTTCTTTCACCCTCATTTCTGTCTTGGGGCTGAGCCTGGGGAAGCATCGAGAGCCGTGCAGACACTGGGCCTCTGTGGCCCTCAGAGCAATGGGCCTCCCGGTGGGGACCTGGAATTGGCAGCTTCAGCCATGAATGTAGTTATTCAGCTGCAGGTTTCAGCAGCACAATGAACCTAAGTATCTGGAAATCAATTTTCTCTCTCAAACTGAAATTGAAAAACCACACTCCCAACAATCGTCAATTGTTCTGGGGTGGTCGTCTCAGCAGCCCTGCTAGGGGCTCCTTCTGGACCAATGGAGCGGCAGGCAGGACAAGGCTGCTGTGGGGACCACGGGATCCTTTTCAACTCCCAGGACCGAGGCAAGGAGAAAATGAAGGCCAGAGACAGTGGCTGGAGAATCTTGATGGAATTTTCCAGGGGCGCTTCTGCAAAGCAGGGAAATGGAATGGGCCAATGAACCCATGAACTGGCTTCTTTGGACCAGGAGTTCACCTTGAGTCACACAGACTCAAGAGAAGAAAATGTTAGAGTCTGATGTCACCAGGGAGAAGGCTGGTTGTTCATGGGCCATACTGCCATCACTGAGTCACCTGCACACCAGTCAGAGGACAGGGGACCTAGGAGGGGACTCCTGAGGAGTCCCTGCCTGGCCACCCATCAGGAAGAGTGGTCAGTGTTCGGCCCACAAGTGTTTTCTGAGGGCTGGGACAGCCCTTGGAATCCACCTGCTGCCTCTTCCTGGGGTCCTGAAGCGAGCAGCCTTTGTGGGCAGTGCCACGTCTGCCACTGCCAGGAGCCCATGCTCACCCACAGGCTGGAGTCCTCCCCACTACTCCTGCCTTGGGCAGACCAGCAGGAGTTTGCCCCAGAAGTGGGCAGCTAGTGGCTTCTGAGGCCACTCAAGGGTCATAAGGATGGCACAGAAGGGCAGGGAGTAGCAAGGACTGTTCTAACCATTACGGAACTTTGGGAAGCTGACATGCTTCACACTGGGAGAAAGCACAGTTCATGGCTACCTGGGGACCGTGGTGGCTGCTGCTGCCCCACAGACAAGGACCTGACAGCAAGATCCGCTCTGCTTAAAGGGTGGAGGCTTCAAGGTTGCTCACCCTGTGGAGCTGAGCTGGCCATGCCCAGGACCTCGATGTTAATATTAATACTGATGACATAATAGTAACATAGCTAACATTTACTGAGATTGGCTATGTTCCTGGCTCAGTTCTAGGAACCTCACATATATCCACTCAGTCAGTCACAACAACCCAATGAGGTAACTTTTGGCCAATGTCCCCACTGGACCGATGAGGTCAGTGAGGCCCAGAAAGGTTGAGTGACTTGCTCAAGAGTGCACTGCTAGAAAATAGTGGCTAAAACACAGGAGGCCAAAGACACTCCATATCAAGGAGGACGCTGAAAGGTTAATGAGAGATCCAGGGAGGACTTCTGCTCAGGAGAAGGACCATGAGCAAGTGACTTAACTCTGTGTCTCAGTTCTCCTCTCTGTTGTACGAAAATAGAGAAGACGTCCTTCCCTACAGACTTCTCAAAGGAGTCTCCTGGGTGAGAATTTTATGAAACTTCCTGAAAGTTGCAAATTTATACAGAAGTGCAAGTTAGAATATTAGACATCGGAGCAAATTAAAACATCCTGAAAGGAGCGAGACAGTAATGGTGAGCATACTGAGCTTGGGAACCAAGTGTAAAATGTAAACAAAGACTGGCAATAAAAACGGCTCCTTTTTCTAGAATAAATCTAAAACTCATTAATAGTCCATGCTTAATTTGGAATTTGCTTTGGAATGTTCATGACTTACCAAGATTTGCTTCTAAAAAGTTCTGTGTTAATTAAATGATTTGTAGGCCATTTATCAGACCCAATGTCAAGTTTAAATTTCTGAGCCCATTGGGTGGTACAACACAAAAAGTGAAATGAGCAGAGAAACCACAGCATCTATTCATAGAGTACTTTGTCTTCTTCTGGCTCAACTCTTGGGGAAACCACATGCTCAACTTCTCAATGAATGGAGACTGTGATGTGTGCTATGCTGTAATATGAGAACGCATGTGAACATTATTACATCCTATACTCAGATGCATCCCGGAAGAAACTAACAGGCCACAAATGGTAACTACTAGCAATGCTGCTCTCAGGTTCAGCTGTGCTTTGTATGAAATTTGGAAGTGCTAGAAATTTATTAGGGAGGAAAACATATGGTACCCCACAGGAGGCAAAGCAGGACCCTCCATACCTAGGCCCTGGGTTATCTTTATGTATATGTCTGGGTTTCGTCTTGATGCTAGGGATCAAACCCAGGGCCTTGCATATCATAAGCACATGCTCTCCCACTAAGCTACCTCCCCAGCCCTGCATTATTTAGTAATTTCTGAAATTTTCAGTCCTACACTTGTGCCACCTCCCCAATTCTTAGACCCCCCCGCCCACAAGGAGCAGGCCTTATTTTGTGCACAGTGGAGGGCCACAGTCCTTCAAGATCTGGTCTGTAATTTCTTGGCTGCCTGTGGTGGTCCAGAAATCTTGGCACCATGGACTTCTAAGTAATCCCCAAATTATATTCAGAGTAGATTATGTCCCCTGTTCTCCACCCTGCTCTGTGTACATGCTTCTTGCAATGTGATTTTGCCACTCACACAGTCAAAAAGACTCCCTTCCCCACTCCTCGAATCTGAGTCAACTGAGTGCAGAAGCCATGCTACACAGTGCCGGGCCTAGGCCTCAAGAGGAGCATGTAACTTAAATCCTGGGCACTGCCATGCCAGCGAGTCCAAGCCAGCTTGCAGGAGATACCAGCTGACCAGCTGAAAGCCAACCAATCTTCAAATGTGTGATAGCATCCAGCCAAGATCCTCAGAGATCATCTATGCAACCTACAGCTTACCATACAGCCAAGATAGAACGGCTCAGGTGACCCAAGAGCAATGATAAATGCCTACTGTTTTAAGTGCTGAATTTGAAGGTGATATATAAAGCAGCTGATATATATATAACTGGGATGTAAGATACACAGCCGAGCCTCTTTTATTTCCCACTACCCCACTGGCCCAGGCCACAGGTTGCAGTCTAGCCTCAGTTTCCTTCCCTAGCACTCCAGTTCCTTACAAGGATTACAGACCCACCCTCAGCCCCAGTGGATTTATACACAGCCCTAGGACATTGCTAGATTTTAATCCAGCTCCCTGAAACATTTTTGCCTTCTTAAATGCCTACAACCAGAAGCACAGGCAGGAGTCAAGTCCTAAGGGACCCATGACTAGTACCTTCATACAGCTGTGCCCATAACTTCTAATCCTGCCTGTTAGCTTCTTGCTTCTGTGTCACTCACTGACCAACTTGTTTTTCCTTCTCCCCAGGTGGATATTTTATTGAAATCCCAACACAATGAACTTGCCCAAGGTATGGTCCCAGGAGCTCAGAAGGCCTGGATTATTCAGTGGAGCTCAAGATGAGGATGAAAGGACTGACCCACCACAGGGATCCGAAAGACAACGCTCACAGGTCTTAGAGAACAGGCAAACCCTGCCTGAGTGGGAGAGGGGGATTACACCCACCTGAGAAGCATCCTGTGGAAAAACCGCATCGAAGGCAAACATCTTAGGAGGAACCTGGTTACTTCTTTTCTGAAAGGCGTTTTGACCTCCACAAGTCAGGGGGTCATACAAGGTGATCTGCTTCTTCCGTGGGTCCACTTTTAAGAAAGAGCTGGATTCGGAGGTATCACGAGCCAACGTGGAGCAAATTCGAAGCATGACTTTGACCTGGTGAGCAGAGATGGGAAACAACACGGATTAGGGTAGTGGGTACCCGGTGGTGGAGGACGCTCACATGCACAGGTGACATAAATATTCATGGCAGCACCAAACCTTCTCATGATACATTATGATGAAAATCGTGTGAATTAGCAACCTAAATCACTGCTGGAGAAAGGTGATTTATTCATAATTAGCAGGTAGAATATTTTGATATGTCCATTACTTTAATACAGAGGTGGCACATCATGTTCTTTGTCTTTCTATTAATATAAATTAAAAATTAACTGTGCTCTGGCGGCCCAATTACATAGATGAAAAGCTAATCTGGACTGTCAAGCTATAGGGGCTGGCACAGTCCCCTTGAAACTCACAGATCAATAAACCATGCACATAAAAGTTAGCTCCATAATTTACTTCCCTTCTCGGCTCATCAGGACTCTGGGAGACAAAAATCCACAGTTATTAGTGTCATCATTAAAGGCCTGTGAAATGGCCTGTTTTTAATGGCCAGCATTCGAAATGCATTCCAAGGGGCAACAGTGATAAAAGATTGGCTTGCAACATGTTATTTGGGATGCCATTAAGTGAGCCCAGAGAAGTTGTCATTTCAGGGAATGAAAGTGCATCTCTGTAGGAAACAGGAGGCAGCTCCCTTTAACCCACCTTCTGCGTCACTGAACAAGAGCATCCTTCAGTGCTTGTGACCAGCTCAGCCCGGCCCTGGGGCTAAGCATGGTGTTTAAGGAAATACCAGCCTGCTTTCAGAGTCCTATGGTGAGCAGAAATCAAGGTGAAACCACACGCAGGTCTGGGGCCACAGTCCCGAGAAGAGGACAGCATTTGCTCTCCTACCAGCTCTTTGTCACTAGGCCAGTCCAACATGGGATGGGGACTTCCTTGAGTACCTGCTATGCAGCAGCTCTGTGCTAGGCACAAGTGGGCAAAGATACATAATGCATAGGGTAGCGGGTCATGCAGATGCAGAGACATCATTTCAGAAATAATTAGGCAAATGGCGAAAGTATGCAAAAGGACTATTTTTAAACGCTTGACCTCAATGCCTAATCAGTTGTTAGGCCTGATGAACTCTACATCATACAAATTTTTGGAAAGAGGTTGTTATGAATTTTTAAATGAAATATCTCAAACATACAGCGATGTTCAGAGAATTCTATACATTGTGCATGATGAAGTGAGATCGTCCTCTTGCTGACCTCAGCTGTCTGCTGAGCCACAGTGACTCATTTGCAGCTCACAAGGCTGAAACATAAAGAATCCGCGGTCATCAGGCTCACTGGAAGTCCAGCACTGTGCCCGGCTGTGCCTGTGCATAAGGTAATTCCTCCAGCGTGGACCTGGAGGTCAGGTGTCATGGCAGAAGGCGCCCAAGGCAGGAGGCTTCCCAGAGTGTAAGTCTTGGCACTCCCCCAGTGAGGTCACAGACCGATACCTGTCATTTTCTGAGGGACTGTGCTACTGTCTACATTATTTCATTTTACCCTCCCATTAATCCAGCATGAAGGCACACTTGTCCAGATTTTACAGAGCTGGACACAGATGTTACATAACCTGGATCAAGGGACCAGTGAGTGGTAAGGTTGGGCTCTGAACCACCTCTGAAACCCATGCTTTTCCCATTATCCCAACCTCTGCTTCCCACAAATAGTTAAGCTTCTCGTAGCCTCAGTTTTCTCATCTGTATAACAGGAATAACAATGACTGTCTTATGGGACTGTTGGGAGAATTCAGCAAATCAGCATGTGAGGTGCTGAATGCAGAACTCAGTACACAGTGGGTGCTCAATTCTTGGTCTGCTTCCTCCCTCTTCCCTTTACTTCTCTCTCTGGACCCAGACATCTTATCATTTTCCAACAGTGGTGCTCACGATAAGGTTTCAGAACTTCCTTCCCCGAACTCTGGGTACCATAAATCACAAGCAAAACACCACTGAGTATCACTACAGATCGTGCTGGTTTTAGGAACTGGGCCTGATAAGGTTCCTCCTAGTAAAACGTGGACTCTCACAGCCACTGTATACTGCGTAATACATTTATCTTCATTTCTTGTTCAGTGTGACTCTGTCGTCTGTTTTCAGTTGCATCATTCTGCTTTATAGATTTGCCCCGACACACAGGAGGTGTGATACGAGCAGGTATTCACACTGCTACTCTGGGAGGGGGCTGGGGCCTCCTCCAGCCTCTGTCTAAGGGACTCTCCTTGCCCAACCAGGGCACAGCACAGGTCAAGAATGATGCAATGCCAGGCAGAACTGATGGAACCGCATGGCCCACTGCCTTTCTCTTTCACAATTTTGCACACCATTCCTGGGTGACTCGAGGTGCTGAATGTGAAATATGAGCTAAAGCCACAAGGAGAAGCAGGGAGGAAGAGGTGGAATTAGTGAGCCATTAGCGCGAGTGGACCGCTCCTGCATCTTAATGAAGTGCCAGGCCTGAGGTTGGTTTTCTGCAGACTGGCAGAAGATCTCAGCCTCCGGTCTGGCCAAGGAGATATGCAGCTCTTTTAAAACTCATTGAACTTGGAGCTGGGGGAAATGCCACACTCCACTCTTTTCTTTGCAATTCACTTAAATAAATGAAGATATTTTCCCCCCTTCGAGGAAAGAAATTGTTTTTTTCTGCTTCACCTCCCTTGTGTCCTTATTCCTTTAGTCCAGCACTCCACTTCCCACTTAATCCTCTGTAATTAAAGAGCTTAGGAGATACCACTTACGATCAAGAAAGTCCCTCAGACTCCTTGCCAGGAGTCCTTGCTTTTGTTACAAACACAGTTAGATTCTTGGCAACAGCGACTTCAACTCTGCCCCTCCCTGCTGCTCTGCTGAAAGGGTCTGGGCAGTCGATAACATGACTCCTTAGCCCTTGGGGCAGAAGCGACAGTCACTATGTCCAAGCCAAGGGTAGACCTGGAGGAACGGGAGCTAGGAAGCCAAGGAATAGTCCACGTGGGGGCGCTGACTCCCTGATTCACACCAGCAGGGACCCGCACTTCCACACCCAAGTCCCGGCTGGTTGGGACCCCATTTTGCCTCATTTGTCTAATTATTCAGTGGCTGGTGCGAAACAGCTGTTGCTCTGGGCACCAGTTGTCTTTATGTTCTGCTCATTAATCATTTCAGCACCTCCTTCTGGATGGCATCGTGAGATGGAGAGAGAGAGGGACTGTGAGACACTAAGCCAGGAAAAGCCTCGCTCCTGAATGGCACAGACTCCACGGACACAGAGACAGCTGCTGGCTGCCACCCAGCTTTATTGGAGGCTAATGAGAAGTGGGTCCATAACCACCCATCGCTACTGCTGCTCCTGTCTGTCCCCAGCCACACCACATCCTACACCACGCTCACCTAGTAAGGCTCTTTGCCCTGTTTCTCTACCCAGAAGCTGCTGAGTCTAGGGCTTTCCTTCAACGATAAGATTCAGGAGGGCTTTGGACAATTTGGCCATTTGAAGGATCCCCACCAATCAAACAAAGACCACACAGGATGTCAGGGACCTGGAGAAAGAAGAACTGGGTCAACCACTCTCATGTGGAGCTCTGGTGACACCCACAGAGCAGGTCCTCTGTGTCTTGGCCACACTCAAGGCTCAATAATAATTTGCGTGTTTTTTCCCATAAGGTTACAGGCCACAGAGCTAAATTAACCACTAGCATCATTCACTTCCTTTACATTTTTAAATTTTAACTTCCTTTACTCTGATTAAGAATCAGTTCAGTAGAAACTTGTCAAGATGCAGATGGATCAGCCTAGCCAGAAATACCATTTGGGATCATTTCTGTTTCCATCTCAGCAGTACTGGAATTTTCTTTCCTTAAGCCTTCCTCATCTGTTCTGAAGGTCCCACAGCACGCCCAGAAACTGTTCTCTAAGGTAAATCAGAGGGAATAAGATAGGCTGGTGAAAACCCTCCCATGGTAAGACGGTAGTGCAGGGCCAAAGTAAAGATTGTCAGATGGGATTCTAAAAGCAAAGGGGCCTAGGGACAGGAGAGACAGCACAGATGGACTAAAGAGCCAGCTAGCAACTAACTCCAGTCCAGGATCCTGGTTCTCTCCCAAAGGGAGAAGTGGACGTGGCGGGGATGCTGGAATTCCCATGGCACAGGCTGCAGGAATCCCGATTATGCCGTGTCTCTGCCTCACACGGAGCAAGTGGTGTGGAAGAAAGACGGAGCTGGAGGTGCCAGGCTCCACCTGAGGAGAGGAGGTGGAGGGTGAAAAGCAGGGCCACACTGTCCTCGGGATAGATCCGAGAGCCTTTCCCATATTTTTGGATGGGTTTCAGCTATAAGGGAAAACCTTAGCGAGATAACAGAGTTCACTGTCCCTCACAGGTGCACCTCCCTCTTTTCAGCTACAGGTATGACAGCACCAGAGTAGACCCAGAGCCAGGACCGGAGTCTCATCCAGCTGTCCCCGCCACTGCGTCACTGTGCGGGCTGCCAAGAGTGCGCTGTGGCATCCTGATCCCTCTGATGGGCCTTGAGGGACAGACGTGAAGACACAGGATAGAGGTTTACGGGCTGTGTAGCAGTACTGTTGGCCTCATTCTGCATCTACAAATTCAACCACGTCTGGATTGAAAATGGGGAAAAAATTGTCTATACTGAAAATAATATACTGATTTTTTCTTGTCATGGTTCCCTAAACAATAGAGTATAACAATTACTTACATAGCATTTTCACTGTATTAAGTATTATAACTCATCTGGAGATGGACTCTAAAGTGTACGTGAGGATGTACATAGGCTCTATGCAAATGCTGCACCATTTTCCATAAAGGACTTGTCCGCCTGCAGATTTCTGTATTTGTGGGAGGTCCTCGAACTAATCATCCAGTGATAATAAGGGATGACTATATTATTCTAGGGAAGAAAGGAAGGAGGGAGGATGAAGAGGGGAGGGAGGGACTCACTTTCTTCAAGTCAACTGGCATAACAAAGACTTGCTACATCAAATCAGCAGCAACAGAAACCTTCTCCAAGGTT